ATATATATATATATAAAAGAAAAAAAAGAAAAGAAACATAGAAGAAGATTTCAGTCGTGGAGGTGCTTTTGAAATTGTCTTTTTTTTTTTGGAAAACTATGCCGTATCTTTTATTTTTTGGTTTTCATATTTCAATAGATTTAAAGATTCAAAATAGGTCTCTTAACTTTTTTTATTAACTCTACTCATTTTTAATTATTTTTTTGTTTCTAACAAATATAAAAAAGACATTCATTCTAAATTTTTTTTCTCTTTACGTGATATATTCTCTCCAAATTTCTCTCTTTAACATTTATTTTTTTTGTCTCTCCAATGGAGGAGAGAGAGAGTGAGTAGAAAAATAGATAGAGAGATTCAGTGGAACATTACGTTATGAAAGACATAAAAGTGTTTAAAAAGGATGTCTTTTTAATATTTGTTTGGGGTAAAAAAAAAAAAGTAGATTTAAAAAGGATAAAGTTGGCTTAAGAAGTTAAAAGATATAAAACTTATAATTTTGATGATTTTGAAACTTTGAATTTATTTTGATGATTTTGAAACTTTGAATTTATTGAGATATAAAACTTAAAAATAGGAGTATAGACATAATTTCTAATTTTTTTTGGGATATATTAACCAGAATCAATAAGCTTTCTAATTCTAGGCAATTCTTCATGAGTGATTCTACTTGAAAAAGGATATGCTTAGAGTCCTTCAAAGAGGAGTTGCCTTAATTAGGACCGAACATGATGCTGTTGGTTCCTCATGAATATTGGTATATGTTCAAATGAAGTATTATCAGAATCGCTTCACCTCGGTGAAATCGGCTTAGGCTTTCAGTCTTTGACCGTCGCTTCACCTCGGTGAAATCGGCAGCCTTTGACCTGGCAAAGTGAAGCCAGCCCTGGAATTTTGAAAATGTTGAAAAAAAATATCAGAATATTCCTTACATTACCAAGAATATGATAGTATATGTGAAATGTTCATTAATTCTCGGATATTCAGAGCTAGAAAATTTATTTATATTGAAAATATTTGTTTACAAAATGCCTACTTCATTCATAGTTTTTGAAATATTCATTTAATGTCATAAAAGGACACTTGAAAAAATGGGTTGAAGCCAGTGTTCGCAAAATTGAACTGGAACGGTTAATTGGAAACGGCCTAGAAGCGATTTAACCAGCCTAACTGGAAAACCGGCTGATTCAACTGCTCTAACTAAACAAATCTCGGGAAGTCAAAAAAGTGTTGAAAAAAATAAAAAAAATACAAAAAAGAAAATCTACTAAAGCATGAAAAGCATATAAATAATGATTAAAACATAACACATTCAAATGAAGTTGAATATTAAAAAATGGATTTTAACGTATCGATTTCTGCCTAGGGGTATTTTTAAATTTTCTAAAAAAAATGAAAAAAATATAAAAAATGAGTATTAATGATCAAAACAATTTGTAACCTTTACATTTTTACTATAATATAAAGAATATTAAAAATACATTATAAATCAAATTCCTTATTTTTGAAAATTTATATACATTTTTTGTGAATATTTTTTAAAAGTACCGATTGATCACCAAAACTGTCCAAAATCGAAACCGGTCAATTCCGATCTAACGGAGCAGTTAACGGTTACATCGCCCGATTTTTCTAATCGTGGTTGAATCCCTTCCCTTTCCCTGCCCAAAATAAGAGATCTCTAAATCGCGTTTGATGACATTTTCAAATGACTAGCAAGTATAATCCATTCAACATTGGAAAGTCTGCAAACTTCTATTATTTCTGGAGATCCAAATTCAGAAAATCAAAATTAATTTTCTTTTTCGCACGGGAACTTATAGGCGCATTTGATTTCTGAAAGCCGCGGTTGTGGAAACCGCATCTTCCTAACATTGTAGTACATCCTGCAGTTTTTTGGAAGGCACGGTATCCTGCAGTTCCAAAACTGTTTGACAAAGAGGAAATGACAGCTTCCATGGGCTCAAGGAAGAGCCATTTCTATTATTTGGGAAGATGCCGTTTCCAAAGCTGCGCATTCCCGTAATCAAATGCGCCAGTACTGTTTTTCTCTTACCCTGTGTTCCTAATTGCCATATACAAATTGGCGTTATCCCACATCTTGGAAGGAACACTATTAGTGTAGCAATGTCTTGGACAAACCTAGTGTGGATTGTTCTTCCCAAATATATTCGAGCATTCGTGGTTGGATAGGTGGTTAGGGTGATGGGTGCCACAAACCGACTTTTTGAGTTTCATTTCACCACGATAAGGAACCCCTTCTCTACTAATATCATCATCATCCAAGTCTTATCCCAACAATTTAGAGTCGACTATATAAACCTTGTTCCGTCAATAGGTTCAGGATTCATGAAAATAAGTGGTAAAGTTTTACGCTGGCTGCCCTATCTAATACAATTTTGGGACCGGAATGACCTACTTGAGACCGGCAATGGTGGAGTTCCCTTCCCTACTAATAAACTAAAAGAAAAAGACGCTTTCTTAGAGGTAAATAGATTTGGTTTATGCAACAAAACACACACTACTATGTTAAGTTTGTTGTTGCTTTATGTTTTACAAACCATTGGGGGAAAAAGTTTCATATTCTTTGAGCGCGTAGTGAATAAGTCAAGGTAGACTATGCAGCCAAGCTTAATATGCTCCCTTTTTGTGAACACATAGCAATCCCTCATCTCCATTGGTTGGGTTCTACGATTTGCACCTTTCTACTTTCAAAGTTTTTTGTGATATTTTTCTGAGTGGGGCTGAAAGAGAGGAATATAAGCAGTATAGAAGGGGGATGACCGAAAAAAACTGTGTTTATTGGGGTTTCGATGAGTGGTGCTTTTGTGGATTTTTAACTGTCATTTCCATGGATGAGTATCTGATGCAAATAGTGATCATAAGGAAGTCTAAAATTCGAGCTTTTATTGTATTTTATTTATTAAAGTTTGAGGATGTTGATGAAATTATTTTTTTGTTTGTTTGTTAAAGAGGGAGTAGCAATAGGGAGGATTAGAAAGGATTTAATTTATTGGTTTGGGTAGGTTATCATTTCCAATTTCTTTGCGCTCACGTTGAGTGTTTATTGCCTAGGGGTGGCAACAAGTGGTGTCCAGCTAAATTGCTTAGGGGTGGCAACAAGTCGTGTCCAGCTAAACGAAGAGCTCGACTTGAAAAGTATTTGGGTCCTTTGAACCCATACATGCATCCGTCGGGTCTCGAGTCTACCCATTGGGTACCGGGTCTGGTTGGATCCATTGCCACCTTACGACTATAAGCTTATTATTATTATTATTTTTTGAAAAATATCTCCATATTCCTTATTTTTAAATATTATTTTTGGAAAAATCTAAAGTTTCAACTGATATCTTCTAATCCCCTTGCCAATTTAAACCTATTTTTTAACCTAATCAAATGTGAGAAGACAAGCACTTTTTAAACTCAATCATTTCTCTCTGTTCACTTATATACTCCAAACTTCTCTCTTTCTCTCATCCTGTATGTCTCGCTCACTCTCGCCCCTACCGTGTTTTTCTAAATACCTCTTCTCCTCCCGGTTACCTATCACCTCCATGAAGCCCATATCTCTCTCTCTAAAATTTTGGGAGGATGACTTTTAAAAAATGCATGTCCTTTTGGATTTGTTTGGCCTAAAAAAAAACGGGTTTAAATTAGCTCAGGCGTTAGAAGAAATAAAATATACAATTTTTATGCCCCAAGATATCTTTTAAAACCTTGAGTCTATTGTGAAGTGAAACTTAAAAATAAGCAGTAAGGAGATATTTTCCCTATTGTTTGTCCTTTTTTTAACCATCATATACCCTATGATTATGAGATTCTTTTTTTGCCAATAATACTGTAGATATTGCCAATATTATGACAATGTGAACACTTCGAATGCGCCTAAAGATTCATGATTGCCATCAGATACCCTATGACTATGGGTATGGGTCGGATCCACCCAAATGGTATTCGGGTACAAAATTTGGACTCACAATCAGACTCGAGGTCGGGTTTATCCATCGGGTCCCGGGTCTGGTTGGGTCCATTGCCACCCCCATTCTTGCCTAATGTTTATTACACTTGATAAGAACTTGAACATCCGAAGAGAGACGTTTGGGTGCGTTTGAACTTTGATGTGATTTGAAA